ATCGCTCTGCTGACCCTTGGGGTCCATTTTATTTTGGTATACCTTTTCTAGGTACGTTAGCCTGTGACCACGGAAATTGGCCGAGTCAAGTGATGGATTAGTACGGAGAGATTGAGACAGAAGGAGGTACTGGATAGAGAGACCGGGATGGTTTTTAATGTGAAGACAACAACAACAACAACAACAACAACGTCACCACAACTACTGCTGCTTGCTGTGAACAGGCAACCAAAAAGCGGTGACAGCTGGTAGTCTCTGAAGTTGAACAGCAGTAGGTCATTCGCAGATGCCAAAAGGTGATTGATTGAATTTCCACGTACAAACGTCAGAAAGAGACTGAGAGCAGGTCACACACACGGACGATTTTGTCTTCAGGACAGAAACTACGGTCGGAGGAAGACCCAGGATGCAATTTCAAGTCATTTTTCCAGCCAGGAATCTTTCTGTCTGTGTGAAAGTTGCAACTTATTTTATTTTTCTGTTCAGTTCTGTCATACGCGCAGAGAGGTTGTGGACTGCTGTCTCAGGCTTGGCTGAACCCCCAAAAGCCCCGGAACAACTCGCGCCATGTCATGGCGATGTCAGCAGAGGTCATGTCCAGAGTAATGCCGACCATCCATGCAGACCGCCGAGCCTGAGGTTGGGACCGATGTTGGCATCGTGGCAAACGCATTCACTGCACACACATACCATGACATACACATGCCATGCGTGCGGCATGCGGGGCTTCAACCAAGAAAAAAACAGACAAAACACCGCTCAATTCGTCGTTCTGCTGGCCATGAATGAACTACATCCGTCCGTAAGCAGCCCCGTGTATGTAGTTTCCAGCAGCAGTAGAGCAATAAATGTCGTGGCGGTGTCAGCAGAGATGCAGAGCAGTGTACACATCTCCGTGCCGACCGATGAGCCCGAGGTCGGGAGGTCGGCATGCACATATATATCCACATCGATCCGCGCGGCTGCGGGCTTTCAACCAAAAAAATCCAGAAAATCGTTGAAAAATAAGCTCGCGCCGACCTGCCGCGAATCCTTTTATTTCATCAAATACGAAAGTAGGTATTTTTGTTGCTCCTCTGTTAGCTTTGTGCATGCTCTTGCATCACCCCTTGCCGCGGTGCTCTCTCTACCCCACTCCGGAGGAACGCCTTGTACAAATACATGCACGTGTGTTGTATTAAAAATCAAACTGCCGATTCAATAGGGAAACCAAGGTGTCTGCAGCCGTGTGCGTGTGCTGCGTGTTGGGTGTAATGCTGTGATTTCTCACGGCTCGGTTTAACAGAATTCCTCAGAAATAAGGCAAAATTTCTCGTACATCGGTTTTAGCCGTGACAAGCCGATTTCATCCTTGCATCCGTACTTTCTCTTGTATCGATTCCCTTTAAGTACATCGTAGCCGGCACTACTGTTTCTCTTACATCGTTTTTAGTCATGACAAGCCGATTTCATCCTTACATCCGTACTTTCTCTTGTATCGATTCCCTTCAAGTACATGGTAGCCGGCACTGTTGCTCCGCTGCGTGAAACGCGCTTGGGAAATCTTGGTCTACCATGCTTCGCTGAGGTTGTACGCTGCGTGACATACATACGTGCTGTGTGCTGTGTGACCCCGTGATCCCTCTCCCCGGCCTCTACCTTGCTTGCTGTAAACGTATCTCCCAAACCGCGTGCCCCCTTGTAGGTAGAACAGAGTAGAAGCTAAAGTCTGCATACCTTGAACTGGGAAAAATTATTGACTTGCCTTAGCATTGAAAGTGTTCGGAAAGTTCGGAAAAATGAATATAAGCACTGACTACCCCATTCGAGATATAGCCACAGCAGTCGAAGGGAAGGTGTTGGAGTCTTTGCAGTGAGAGGAGGGAAACCGGCTGGGTACTGGGCTTGTTTCGACTCATTATAACCTAGATATTATACACTGAACATTCATCAGTGATGCCAGCAGGTGCTCATCACAAAAACACTGCTGTAAAATACAAACATCAAGACAAATCCCCCGTATGCAGTTTTTGGTCTAGATATCTAGACTACTGGGCCAACGACAAAACTGTCGGGGAGAAAAAGTTCCATATTCATTGTGTGCAGTGTCCCCGGGCATTTGGGGACACTTTTCACTTACTGTCGAAGTCAGCCTTCGTCCCTCGGGACTGCTGTGCAGTCTTTCCCAATGAGCGGATGCGATTTTCTCTGCACCTATGTATTTCCTGCTCTAGACTAATAACCACTGAACCCGGGTTCTTAGTTCTTATTATTATTTTAGAGGGTTAGAAAAAGAGTCCAAATAACCTCAACTGCGGCACCTCCAGTCGCAACATTGCAGCGTCCGGCATCGGAACAGGATCCCGCCAATAAAACGGAAGGCGTTGCCGTGCTGCAATGCCGCAGCACCTGCAACAGCAGCATGTATTTCATATTTGTCCACTGATTACTGCTGTGTGCAATAGAGTGCACCTATGTAGACCTACAAGATCCAAGCAGCCCAGCTCATTTCTATTACTTAGTATAGTACTGCGCGAGTAGGGCACCTTGCCTTGCGACGTGCCAGCAGCGCAGGCAGGCGGTTGCTGGTTACACCGTTCCGCAATTCGACCGTTTACCATCCAGTAATACTTGACGATGACATTGACAGCACGCGACACAGCACGCGACATCGCAACGCACGCTCACCAATCCACAAATGATGACCAGTCTCTTTTGAAAAGGGCCCAAACCAACGCGATCAATCGCTTCAGAGAACGTCGAGGGTGGGTGATCGACAGCGTCCGGACCATCATCATCACTTAGCGCAGGCGGATGCATGAAAGGCGAATCTTGAAGCTGCTGCTCCGGTCGACGCGTTGTTGCGGTGGCGGCCTCCTCAGTCTTGCTCTGAGAAGATGGCTGACTCCTTCTGCTTTCCATGTTTCTGTCTCCCTCTCTCTCTGTCTGTTGTTCTCCCTCTCTCCCTCCCTCTCCTTAACGGTGTGGTGACGTGTGTGTCGTGTGGTGTCCCGCTCTTTTCCTTCGATCGGGACTCTGTGTATCCCCTCCCCCCCCCCACGCATATCTGATCCACGCGCGAATCCACCAACCAATCGGAATCAATGTCCACAACGGCCTGCTTGATGATAATGCTGCTTCACCTGCCAGGAGCAGCCGCTGTAGTACAGCCCACCAGTCGCCCGTCCGTGTGGCCGATTGGTCAAGTCAAACGCAACCCTGCAAGAAGACCAAGGCTACGAGTAGATTTGCGAAACTGACGATGTTCCCTGTTGTGCAGTGTGCTGTTGGAGGCGGCAAGGAAAGACCAGAAAAAAAAGTAAATTAAGGACCGTTTTAAACGAACCGACTTTTTTGTCAAAATTTTCGACAGTTGTCTTTCAAAAACTTGGAACCTGTGTGCAGTCATTTAAAACGTGTGACGTAGACTTGTGCAACTTGTGTAAAAAAAAATGACGCCGTCCGTGAGTTGTAGCGCTCATTTCGAGACAACACACATGACACAACACAAACCGCGGAAAACACGACATCATGGACACCGACATGGATAATATCACGACCACCCAGCGTGGCCGGCAGACCAAAACCCCGGCGAAATTCCAGCAGACGGGCTCTCTCGGTGCCGCCGTAGGCGGTGGAGGCTTGCTCTCCAGCAAGATAGTGCTGCTGCCTGGCATCTCGGGGAACACTCATGTTACCACGGGAGGCGCTGCCGCCACCAACACTCCGCCGGCGAGGGGTGGCAACCACTGCTCCTACCCCCCCGGGAAAAGGAAAAAACAAAGCGGCGGACGCGAAGCAACAACTGCAAGCCATCATGGCGGACCGCCGTTTTTTTTTTTTGTATTGCGCGTGCCCGTGGGCGAGGAGAGCCGCTCGAATCTGTAGGCGCGCCGCGCTTTCTACGGTCGGCCATGACCCACACACAACCCTAGCTGACTTTCTACGGTGAGGGGCACTCGTGGTGCAGACGCAGCAGCCCTCGCGTGCCTCTGCAAGGGTACTTTGGAAAGTGCTCCAAATACTTTGAGAGGGTTGTCAAAAAGTTGGAACGAAGTGGAGCAAAGTTTTCGCGCCCAACTTCGTTCCAAATATTTTGAAAAAATATGGACAAACGCCTACATACAGGTTCCATTTTTTGACACTTTCAAACATTTCAATTGCAAGGGTGTGTTTAGTAGGGTAGAGTATTTTGAGTAGAGTATCGACAGTCGTACTAAAGGTTTAGTAGAGTAGAGTATCGGGAGTAGTACTAAACCTAATAGTAGGTCGAGTAGAGTATCGAGAACTCTACTAAAACTTTAGTAGAGTAGAGTATCGGGAGGAGTACTAAACCTAATAGTAGGGTGAGTAGAGTA